GTCCTGTGGAACGTATGAAATTGAACGACGAGAAAACAGGTAATCTCAAAGGCGCATATATAATTTACATGATCTGCGCAAACAAAAGGCTGTCTACAGTTGTCACACATCAAATGGTCTCGCGTTTCACCTTTGAGGATGGAAAGACCAAGCAATTAAGGAAGATTGGCCAGCTGATATATGTGTGAAAATAATAGTGTCCATTTCATCGACCTTCGATTCCTTTAAGTACAAAGAGCTTTGCTTTTCACAAGATGACGTCTGCACAAGAACGTTGTACTGAAATACCAGAACAATCAGCTAGTGATTCAGCACCCAGGATTTTAACCGCATCAAACTAGTTTGGGATGCATTTGCAAGAACCTTGATACAAAGAGGCAGTTACTTCACAAGATCACTACAGTTGTTCGTTCTGCGTTGAACAATTTTGAAGTTCAAATATGCCGGGACACGATTTTGAGGACTAACTAACAGTTTTTTGGTCAAAATGGGAACAGTGAATGTATTTCGTAACCTTTGAGATATTTTCACCGGTAGTTTACCTAATTTACCATACGGATGGCCGCCATGTCCTCAGTGCACCAAACCTGAATGGTTTGGTGTAGAAGACCTTAGGATGGGAAAATTTCTCGCTAATTTATGGGCAACGATTGGGATATTCTGTTGTTGTGGCTTATGATGCATTTGGATGGATTGGATTGGATACATCAACATTCGGACCATGGAAGCTTTCATTATTATTACATAGTTGCCTAATACTGGTGGAGTTAGTTATTGAAGTGATAACCATTGGTTTCCAGAGATAAATTGCGTAACCCATTTTCAAAGTCATGCTTTAGGAAATGTCGAAACTAAACGGAGTAGACTGAAACTGTTTTTCAAAGCGGTTTTAATATTGACAGTATATCATTTGTACACCGGGGTCTAAGTATGTTAACCATGCTTCGCGCTCTTCCTTTCCGGGAGTTCAAATATTCGCAAAAAGTCCTCTGCTATCCAACTGGACCAAATTACATTTTAGAAAGACACTTTATATTGGGATACATAGAAATGATTGTTTTGTCAACTCAATATATTCAGCAGTATGGAAGCTAATTGAATACTGTAAGCAATGTGACTTACAGAGGAGAACATCTGTGTGATCATTTGCTAATTAGGTCAAGAAGTACCTGAGTTCATTCTGGACAGGCAGACCAAAGTGTGAACTCGAAACGCCACTGTGTTGTTGCTACCTCAACAGGAATATTTTGTTAAAAGAAAAACCAGAATGTGAAAGGCATTGTATTGTATTGTACTGTATCGAAGCTCTAACGCGTTTGGTACAGGCGTTCAGTGAAAAATAGATCAGCGTTACAATTCTGGTAAATAAAAAAGAGGCCAAAAGTGGGACGTACAAAAATATGAGTTAATTATTAAATGTATTAGAAAGCTGAAGACGAACACTTTATTGTTGGTCACTATCCGGGCACGACAGACTACGAAAGAGTTTTTGCATGCGGATATGCGAGACGGGATAAGTTTGTAGTAGGAACGGGTGGAGGGGTGGGATTTGCGTGCACACAGGTCAATGGATAAAGGATGGGTGCAGTCAGCTAGAATATTGTCAGCAAACTTCAAGCACGCATCAATATGAGCATTGCACATATTGTTAATCAGGACAGATAACGGAACTTGGAACACACGACTGAACATTGAAAAGCCTCGCTTCAGCAACCTAAAGTCGTCCTTCAGTATACCAGGGAAAATTCAGGAAGCAGTAAAGGATAATAGGGAGAAGACATTTTTGAAGAAAAGCGCCTATCACCCATCCATCAGAACAGATATGCACAATCTTATTATCTGACAAGAGAGAAATTTCAGCTCACGTGCGTCAGTTGGGCTATGTAAGAATCAGCAACGGTTACTTTCAAGTGGGACACCTAATAACTTCACATGGCAAAGCCTGCTCATCGGCTTTCTTTGGATCTGTTCATTGTCGGAAGGAGATGGAGAACGATTTAGAGGGAAAATACATTCAGGGCATTTTTCGGGATAAAGATTAAGACCGGATGAAGTGGAATGCGAAACGGGATGGATTAAGCTTGTGTTATATTTAACTAGTTCTATTAAGTTAGATACGGAAACAGAAATGACGATATCATCAGCATACTTAACGTCAGGAGTGATAAGTAACTCAATCATATAAGTCCCCAAAAGGTAGGGTGATAGGACAGCACCTTGAAGTACACCCGAAATATTGAGTGATGCGGTTAACTGTCTCCTTCCAATTTAACATAATGATACCTTTGCATCTGAGAAGGCACGACAGACGTGTAGAATTTTCCTTTTGAATTATTGTACGAAAACATGATGTTAACGCGGAAGTTAAACTCTTGCTATTGATTCCGTGATAACATCACACCACAAGTCAAAAATTTCATTTCTCAATTTTAAGCACCAGTTTGCCGTTTCCGATATTTCTCATAAACTCTTCGCTTTTCGCTAAATTTGTGGCCAAAACGACTGCAAGAGCAATGCAGGAGGTCGCGATGCCCGTTGATCACCATCACATAGTTCCGTTTTTGAATTCCACTGGGAACAAGAAAATGCAGTCCAAGCACTATTTAACTCTATAAAATAAATTCTTCAACGTGGAAGCCATTATCATTTCAAGCTTTAAGTACATAATTTGATAACATTCAAAAGTTGAAAGGACTATAGTGTCGACCGGGGTCTATCAAATTTCACTACTGCGTGTATCTAGCAGTTAATCAGAGTCATACATCATCAAATTCTCCAGTACAAACATGAATGTTCATGTATCCGATAGTTGCTTCAGCGTATTCCAGTAGCTATGGTCACGTTCGTTCGCCACTCGGATACCTTCAATTAATTGAGGCCGAAATGTAGTCAGTTTCCATCATAGTACTTTCTCAAGGATTTTACGTTCGTCCGTAAGAAAATAGCATTTTACGCAAAGTCCTGAGTATTTTACAATAAAATTCCTGACACTGGCGCCATGTATTCCAGTGGCACGAAAATAAAAATTAGCACTACTAGGACGAAAACTCTTTTGGTCTAGCCCCGAAAGTGTTTGCATCTTTCATTGAACTGAAAGCTAAACACGAAAGCATCGAGGATATTTGGGCACTAGGAATGTGGCGAATTTGGAATAATCCATTTGATTGTACATGGTCTCCAGGCACTGTTGATGGTCATCACACAAATCGCTTATATACACACACCACTATTGGGAAATAAACGATCTATCAAGCCCAGAATATCACACTCAAGGCCAACGAAAATGTCTGGTGCCTGTAAACAATCGAATGAATTATTCCGAATTTATTGCTTTTGTTTACTTGAATCTTTAGCACTGGGTAATGTCCATTGACTGCTTAGCTCAGGGGTAAGAACTTGAATCCCCAACTCTATTGCTCGCCATTTGAGTCCCCGACAGAGACAGCAAAAGTACGCACTGCTGATGAGTCCCAAACAGGACGAAACAGCTATTCATTGCTCTTTATCGATCGACACAGATCTTTCCATTGATTTTTTAGACCATTTTCTAAGACATATGTTACATTGTATTGTGTTGGGTATGCGCAATTTTTACCTTCTCTAGTTTAAATCTAAACAGCTCACACGATTTTGGTAAATTTCAGCCAAAGGATCACTGGATTTTAAAGTAAGGCATGAAAAATGAGAATTCCAGTTAAACTGGATTTGCGAAGTGTTTGCATTGAACGGGAAGTTACATTATTTTATCGTAACTCAGTATAGCTGAAATGACGGAAGACTGAATTCATCATGACAGTTCATAGTCAAAAACGGTAGAAAAAACATCCACAGGAAGTGTTTCACTCCATAGTGACATTCGATCGGTCCTACAGGTAAACGTGCTCATTGGCTACGTTGGAACACGTGTGGACAGTTTCCTGGTATCTTGTTTTGCTACACACAGTGAGCTTTCGCGTTTTGGTTCAGCAAAATGCGATCTGTAATTTGCATAACTGACATGCATCAAAATAAGCGAAAGGCTTTTGACTTAGTTCTGGGCTCTCCATGTGAACATTTTCCCAAATGACCCAGTAGAATGATTATGGAGATTAAGATGTGCTATTTTTCTCGCATTATTATCATGGAAGCCGGTGGAATTTAAAGTTTATTCCTTAAATTAACGAAACAAACAGTTTTATAGTTGTATACTCTGTCTATCATTTAATATTAAAACACTGCTTCGATGTTTCATCAACGGTGGCGTAATGCGAGCTAGAATTCGTTCTGAGCCTGCTGTTCTATCCACAAAGCGGGCAAAAATTGATGTTGCAGTAAAGGTAAACCTACTCGGAATCTCTTTATCAACAGTAATGTGCTATCCTGAAATGAATGACAATGATTTCGATACTGTCGCTTTGCTTCCCTGCATTTCAGTGTGTGTGTGTGACACACTCCTAAGCTAAAACAGGAATAGCTGAGCTTTATTGATACAGACCTGCATTCAGTGTGTTGATCGTTGACCATGTGTAGACTGGGGTTATTAGTTCCGATGCCCAGTCAAAAGATTCAAATTCCGAGTCTCGATTAGGACACCAGAAATTCTTACACGGCTAATCAATATTGTTTGATGTGAAAATATTTGAATCAAACGGATGGTGGTCCCGGTCACTATCGTGCTTTAAGCCCTGTGGTCCAAGGTTCGAGCACCACCACCGCCACCCAGCTTCGTTCTTAGACAGCTTTGCTGTTGTTTGGCTCAATACATACCTAACCTAGCAGAGCCCTATGTGATTTGCCATTCCAAGTCCCTCGGGTCTGGGCTACCGGTTTCCATCACTGAACAGCAGGTCTTTCTTTGTATGGGGTTTAGCCAGTCTCCTGTTCATCATACTAAAGTGTACAATAAAACCAACATGGATGGACTGATAGCCTCTTACTGATTACAGTTTAATCGCGGGCCGTGTTCTCTGGAAAATCTCGGCATTATTATCTCACTTTCTACCCCATCCATTCCATTTCAGACAGTAACTTTGTACTGGGCAATGCTCAAGTAAATGAACATCCAATCGTCTATTGTTCGGACGGTCTGATTGAACTAACCGGGTACAACCGCTCGCAGATCATGTCCCGATGCTGTTCGTGCAGTTTTCTTTGGGGTGATCAGACCACTGAAGAAGCCCGGCAGCTCATAACGGATGCGCTCGAGAAGAAGACAAAGTTGCAAATCGAGGTATATTTTCACAAAAAGAATGGTAAGAGTTTCCCCATGTCCCAAGCCAAGAAATGTGTCTGTAGCATGCTGAGAACTGGAATTCGATTGAATGGTAGTAGCGTTAAATATCAGCTCTGAAGAAAGATGACCTAAATTTCTCAACACCAAGCACTAAACTGGGCGGTCTTTTTGGCAGGATCAAAAGTTGCAATCAATATTTTTCTTTATCTAACGTATGGAATTGAATGATTTTATCAAATAAATTTATGTGAACTCCCTAGATACAAGGCCCACATGTGCCCAAAATTGACCTTTTGGTGATCGCTAACTTTAATTCTATCAGGAATTCCCATGAAGAGTCGTGTGGTTTGATCACATATTTCGGGAGATAGCAAACCTGGTGTTTTCAGGCGATAGATCCTTGCCAACAACAACAAAAACAATAAAAAATTCTCCTGATTTCCAACTTGGAAACATCTCTAAAAACTTCACAGTATTCTATTATTGTCACTGAAATCGTGAGTACCAAAACCAAGCCATTGGTTTGAAAACACAAACCAAATGTTGGCATTCTACAGTTTCATCTGGCATCTTATAACCCTAAATTCCATCCATTTTTCCATCCTTAATAGCCACCCGTTTTCAATACACTATAACTAACGTTGTGATTCTGGTCAGATTTACTTCAAAACGAGTTCCTCAATTAATTTATAGAAGATTTCCAGTAATAACAGAAATTTGTTGTGGTGGTTGTGCTGATGGACAACATATGCTCACGAAAGAGAAATCAATTTTTGAGGCGACATTCTGCATGGACTGGTGCATACAATGAAAAAATCATTTGATGCTGAACAAAAAGGGGTTTAGTATAGCTAAATTTCTAGCTGAAGTGACCACTGATCCAGTGTCATTTCGTTTTCCCTTTATAGAGTTCATGAACACAAGAAGATATATGTGGGCAGGATTGATATTTGCCCTCAATTTCGCGTGCTCTCATTCAGTTGTAATCGCATATTTATATGTTATCATGTAAAACGAAGAAACATACGAGTTGAAATGAGTTATTTGAACAAGGTGCTGATGGTGTACAAGTGAGTTGAGTGATCTGTGTTTGGTTAGGGGTTGAAGTCAAGTTAGATGACAAAATTTGTTATGGAGGTGAACTGGTCCGAATGATGTAATGAATGTGTTGGAGGCAGAGGGGGGGGAAGATCATGTCACGTCATGCTATGGTAGGGCGGTATCATGTGCGACATCCTCACTACCATGGCAACATTAGTTGCGTCATAAATGTTCTTTGAACACCTAATTGAGGTTTCAACCGATGAATAATTATCGCTTCTGAGAGTCGCAAAGTCCGTGAACGTCGAGGCCTCACAATGACTCGAAAGCTTTGGGTACGTCTACACTGTGACCGGAAAAAAACGACGGGCAATCACACTAGATGGTAGTTTACCTCTGAGAATATCAAGGTGTTTCGGGATATGTTTACCCATTCTGGTTGGTCAAGGACGTTCTGTCCTTCCGATGTACCGCTGACCGCAAGTACACTGAAATGAAATGCAGTTGGAGATAAGACTAACGTCTTCTTGATCCAGAATAGTGCGTGTTAAACAGCGAAAGGTTCCGTAAACAATCATTAGTCTTACGCCATTGTACATCCTTTCCACGGCGAGTGTTAAACAATCATATATTATGTGCGTTTACAGCTGAATGAGAGCACGCGAAATTGATGATCAATATCGATTCTGCCCACATATGTCTTCTTTTATTGTCATTTCGCTGTTTCTGGAACAAGTATCCAAGACAAGATTGAAACTTCTTTAATGCTGCTATGTCTCTCTACTTGTCATGGAAGAACATGAGAAGTCCCCTTTGTTCAATTGGAAGGAGACAGAGATCAGCTTCATTTATTTACAGCAATTCTAAGAGTTTCTGAACAACCACATCTAGCCGGATCAGGTGGTCGTCCGTTTTAAACACCTAAATTGTTCTCTATAAACGAATTTAGTTATTAGTCTCTCGAATTTAACAACTCATTACCGTGATTTTCAGCTTTCAATAATCCCGATCGGATACAGTTGATGAAAGACACGAGTATAATTCCTACATGATATGGGAGATTTAAAGGGTAATTCTGTAAGTGATCAACCAATCAACCGACGAATGGTCAACTTTCACCCTCTTCAATTCATTCTGGCGTTAATTGATCAACCTAGTGCTGAAAATTAGGTTTTCGGTTCGACGGTACAGTAAACACTTCGAAACAAATTGAGGTATACACTTAACTCTTACAGCTCTGTTCATGCGTGGGACAGGTTGAAGAACCGAGTGAGTTATTGATCGATCAGTCGATTGGATCTGTTGTCACACTCTAAAACGGCTAGTTGATTTAAAAGATTATTGCCTCAAGTGATTCGTTTGGAGGTGGTGGGTGATTCATGTGTATCGGAGAGAGAGAAGTTTAATCGAAGAATGAATTTCATCACGTGATAGCCAACGCTGGTTGGCCCCTGAGCTTACCTTTAACGGTAAAAGGAGAGAGTAGTGAGTCTCATTCTGAGCTCCAGTTGAAGAAAAACGGTTGTAGCTTCTGTGATGGCGTAAAATACACCAGACCCCAAAATGCTGATTTTGAACATCATATTGCATGAGATTTCTTGGTGGCAGAAATTCAAAACTAATCACGATGGCCGTTTGGGAGGGGGCGGGGTCTAGAACCACACAGATGGTTATAGTGTTAAAAGTCACATGGTCATTTTCTGTTATTTGTTTCTCCTGTCACAGCCAAACGCTCCCTTTTAACTCAATTCCAGTTCAGTTTGTACAATCATTAATCATGCACTATCGTGCGCCGGTTTTGGTTGCTATCTTTCGGCTGTCCATTTGGATGAACATTAGGAGAAAGACAGGAAAAGTTGAAAGTAGAATCGAAGAGAAAATTGAAAAGTTCAGTGGACTAATGATACAGAGAAATTGAGAAGATGCACGAAAGCCACTGTTTACGATATCCAGCCATATCACTCAGTGTATCTAAACATCGGGTACGACCATCCCGAGGTCCCCGTCCAGGGAGCCTAACGAGACCTATATGACCCAGACTCCTGGTTAGGGTTTTCATACCCTCATGCCAGGTCTCAGCTTGACCACCTTTGACCATCTTCTACCCACTACCTACCTCGGCAAACATTCTTTTTAACTACCTTCGAATAGAACCCGATTTTTTCTTACCGACATTTCTGGCACAAACCGATCGACGTATCCGCTATGACCAACGATAGTCGACAACAGTGCCGACGTTGATCCCAGACCGTAATGATACATTGCGATCATGGTACGACTTTAGAAAGGAATTTATGAAGTAAAACTGAAATAAGGGGCTTATTGGGCCTTAGGCGTAGTGTGTGATGATGTGTGATATTCCAGCTACCACAAACTCCAGAGCTATTCTAACAAAAAACATTACGCGGGCAATTTATTGAGTCTATGGGCCTGTGACTGAGGATTCGTGTCCCGTCTCCGATTCCTGTGAGTCACCTTACGCCTCGTCGCTCAGCACATGTAGAAAAAACATCTTAGATGATCAAAAGTTGTAACTATGTGTACGGTAAATTTAGCGGAATTCAGGCGGGAAAGAATAACCGCAAACTGCAATAAAAAACTCAAGTAATCGGTAACCAATCCGCAAATTGTCAATGCACATAGTGTGTGGACACAATTGAAGTTGGATGAGTCAATTTGTTGTGTTGAACGAACCGCGCTGGTTCGTAAATGGAACGATTTCATTGGGATTCAGTTTTTTCCATGATGCAAAAGCACAAACTCAATTTTTGAAAAGATATATAGTTTTTGGGTTTTATGATAAAAACGGCTGGACACAGTCAAGGGGATTAGATTGATTTCTTAAAACAGGACACACCATTTTGAAGCTTCCTCTACAAACAATTAGAATAAGTTTACAAATGGCAAATCGCACTTTCGATCGACAACGAGTTAATGTCCATAAGATGGCAGAAATCGGGGATCAGATCAATGCCAAACACACCAGATAAATACAGCTTCGAGTTCGGAATGTTGGTGGACAGAAAGTGTAGGTATGTGTGTACTGTGCTATCATAGCTGTTGGCTCGTGGGTGTGAGCAAACAACAGGAATGACGACTGATTGAGGCGGGGGGATCGGAGAGACTGTTAGATCCCCTGGTACCGGCCTTCCAACCCGGTTCAAACAAGCCCCCAGAGCACTGTGCTGTAGTGTGTTCTGCTGGCAGTGTCATAATTCAGCCGCTTTGTCCTTATCAGATCGAAACATATAGCAAACTTTTCATGGATTTGATTCATCCCTGAAGCCCGTTTCCCCGGGAAGGAGACAATCAAAAACAACACTCTGCCTACTTTTGTTCTTTAACAAAAAAGTATTTAGCCTCCCGTATGCATCGCGACGAGGAATTATGGCAGACATACTTGGTATATCAGCCATCAACGCATGAATGCATTGCAGATAAGCCCTGAGGGTGAATCTCACGTTTGAACACAATTGAATGTGAAGCTTGTTGAGAACGGTTGTTTCACGGTTTGATAAACCTGCGGATCGAGACAGAAATAGATATGGCACGAGGCCGCTTGACCAATTCCAGCCTGGTCTGCTTTAATTGTCAGCAAAACAATTTGGGCAGTGTATTGTTCACAACCATCGAAGAAATTGCCCGTGTCATAGTGTAGCGTCCGCAGAATGTGGTGATCAACGAAATATTTATTCCATGCATACGTTTTGTCTATTCAGGCTCCAACCACCAATTCGGTCACTCTCATTTGATCAGATGATTGATTACCCAAAGATCAAAATTCAAATTGTCTAGCCATTCCAGTTATGCCTCCATACTGTGATGTAGTTTTGATAAAATGATCGTTTCGTTTTCAAAATTATGTTCACCTACAATCATAACCTTCAATTTTAAAATTATGGCTTCATTAGGGTGTTAATGTCACCCTCATTTCCCATCAAGCCTAAAGATTGTTTGATTCAGAAGCTGATTTGCGGAGGAATGTTTAACTTGAGTTCTCAACGGCATGAACTATCGTCATCGAGCGATGTGGACGATGAATTCAAAAACAAGTGAAAACGGTCAGTTGATCGATCTAGGATGCATGCATGAATATCTTGGCTTTTCTATGGTGAGCATCCAAACAAATCACAATTGTGGAAAACCCTGAATACAAGCTCAAAACAATGCTTCAATCCTACGGTAAACTTCTTGGGGCGACGATCTCATCTTGTGATTGTTCCTCCAGTTGTTTCTCCGGGCAACGTTCATCAATCGCATGGATAGACACTCAGTGGAGTCGTAAAGTCCATCACAACCTCATGGTGTCAAATGCAAATTTGTAACGGATGTTTTCGAAGAAATCGTGTCTCGTGCCATTAATGTATTAGAAATTACCGAAATGTTTGAATCCACGTGAGTAATGGACGATTTGATTCGACTTCAAAGGTGAAATTCGTCATTTATAGATGTTGATCAAACTCGTGCAACATCACTCTCGTTTCGGAAGTATATTCAGTCTCAAATATTATACTTGTATATGGATGACTATGAGTAAAGTGTATTTATTCCTGATTTTATCTTCCAATTCTATGTTCTAAGTTCTGTTCTATCACCGTTGGAATTTGCGTGACCTTGAGTGTTGCGATAAAATTTGTCGTAGTTTGAAATTTACAGCTCAACTTTTGGAAATATTCTCAGCGAAATCAGGATGTTGCACGAGTTTAGTCAATACCTGTTTATAGCAAATGAAGCGTGAACTGAGAAACTAGGGAGGACTGGACAGACGTTTCGACCTGGTTGGGTCTCTAAATGAAAAACGATTTGTATGGTAAACATCCAAATATACCAAACATCTCTTTGCACGAAAAACGATCTGATCAGCTGTCCGGTAACCGAGTAGGTATTATGCTTGTGTTGTGTCTGACAGATCCACGGTTCGATCCCCAGTTGGGTCGATGGATTCGTGCACTGCTGATGAGACCCGACCAGGTCAAAACAGCGGTCCAGTGATTCTTAACTTTTCAGTTCACGCTTCATTTGTTATGTGGATGACGAATTGCGCCTATGAAAATATTTGGATTAGCCACAATGCGAGAAAACCGAAAAGCAACAAAACTTTGGTTGACGACGTTTCGACCCGTTTTGAAAGACCTTTTTCATGTTGATTGACAAGAGAACAATAAATGATAAACGGTGAAAGAAACCGTATCACAGGGAGGAGCTTTTGCTTGTGTTTGTGTGGTGGTGGCCTGGGGGTAACGTCCCCAAATTACCACCGCGGGGGACGTGTGTTCGAATCCCACCACCACCGCCTGACTTCCCCCATGGCAGCCCTTTGAATGGCCGCTTTCCCCTTCCTGAAAATTGTCGTTGTGTATTCAATAAAAGGAAGTAAAATTTAAGAGAAAATAAATGAGAGTATGAAAGTTGCGCGTGAAGCAATAGGTCAAAGACCTAAAGATGACGTCATATGAGACGGGGATTCGAGTCTGTGTGATGTGGTGAGCGTAAATGTTGTGTGTTAGTATGCATGGGTGTGCGGGGGGGGGCGGTTGGTTGTGTAAGTGTCATCAA